GCGAACTGCTGCTCGGTACAGGTTATTTATATATATATATATATATATATATATATATATATATATATATAGGCATGACTGACAAATTATATTAGGTAATCAGGTTACCTATATATCTTGACCCTCGACAGTGTTCGGTTTTCCTCGGTCCAAATTTTTTCGAGATGGTCGAAGAGGTTATTTATTAAAGTGGCCGAGCCTTATATAGAATTGTGGCAGCCAAGGAAGACCATAGCGTTGGCAGTACAGAGGTGTTGTTGCCAAGCAAAAAGTTTCATTATCAGCGATACGAGAGTTCTTCGACTGTGCTAATTTCCTTAACCATTCCGCCTACAAGCCGAAGTTCAAGGAAATTGGGGGGGCAATGTTTGGACTCAAATTTACATCATCGGCCCGTGCAATCAAGGTCATTGAGTGAGCATAGCTCTCAACCGTTGGATGAAAAGTGAAGATAATTTTGTTATTATTGAAAGATAATATTATGATTTTTATCATAATAATTATCCTTTAATAAATTATCTTGATATTTTCTTATACAGGATAAAAAGATGCAAAGTAAGTTTCCGAGCAAGCAATACAATTCAAATGGACTTGGGACTTCTATTATTAGATTGAGCAGCAACATGGTGATGGTGCATTAAGATGAGGTTTGAATAGTCAAGATGCATGGTTTTGGGATAACGTTGAAGTCAAGATAATGATGCAAATTGGAATGTCATTGGTACATGGAATTTGGATGACAGAGATCCACGTCATTTAAATATTATAACCAATCTTTGGATTAGATTGGTGTTCTGCAAAGATGAAAGGAGCACATGACATTGACCCGAGGAATCTTGACTTTGAGGGATATTATCAAAAAGGTTCTTTATGACAATATATGGACGCTGTGAGTTAGAATGGAACTGGAATACTTTATTTCAGTGGCTAAGCATTACAAAATCTATAAATAGAGGCAGTGGCAACAACAAAAATGACCTCCAATTCAACACACAACTGCCCTGTACAAAACCTCTCAAACATCTGGAGATTTTTTTTATTTTCTTTTTTCCGCCAACACATCTTCAGTTTGGATAAATAGCACTGTGAAGGCAACTGACAAACACCTTCAGTTTGGATAAACAGCACTGTTGCCGTAGAATCAGCCGACCGAGGAGCACCTTCAGTTTGGATAAACAACACTGCGTGGAGGCCAACTGGTTACCTATCCAAGTCTTGGTCGAGAAAGGTTTCTGAATCCTTATTGGCAGAGGTCATCTTATTAGCCTTCTCGGCGAAGTAAGGTGTTACGAGTTACGATATTCGGCGCATTGAACGTCGAGTGATTTTATGATTAGATACTCACAAGTGAGTTTCAAAGTTCGGCATTCTGACGATCGAACCACATTCACCATCAAGACATACATCACCTTTAAATACTTGTGTCCGTACAGTATGGTGTCGATTCAACGTGCTTATACTCTCATGAATATAATCACTATGACCGAATCTGGCGCCGATGATTTGTGAACTTCGCAGAACTAGTGGCCTTGTCTTCAGGCTCGAGAAATCCAAAGGCTGAGATTTGTTCCTTCCTCGACCGCAATTGCAAGATAAAGAAGTCAGCAACGCTCTCAACGCAAAATCAACAAATTTTACTCCTCGGTTGAGCTCGACCGACGAGTTGGCATGCGCTGCATTCAACTGAATGACGTAATTAGTTTATTAGTTACTCGGCATGCGCGCCACATAGGCTTTGTAATTGTTAGGATCAACAAACACATATATCTAACTAGTTGCAATTCCTTCCAGCATGCAGAATTTTAACAAATTCATATATAAATTTGTAAAGTAATTAGTTGATGGTAGAGAGAGTTGTTAGCTAGGCAGGCAATGACAAGAATCTAGGGTTTGTATGATTGAATCCTTAAGACCATCTTCAATGGTGGCTTATAACCTAAATTTTCCCTTTTTTTCCCCCCCAAAATCCACTCCAACCTAAAACCTAAACCAAACCTAAAACCTAAAACTTAAAATGAACCCAAATACCAGTCACAAATTTAGCCCACAAATTGAAGTGGGACCCACACCCCAAAACCCCAAAACCCAAAACCCAATCTGCCAAATAGGGATGAACAGTGCAGCTGAAGCCCACCCACGTGGGCTGTCCCATCTGCTGCCAGTTTCACTGTAGCCCAACGGCTACTTTTCTTCATCCAACGGCTCCATTTAAATGGGCCATTGGTTAATCCAACGGTCTAGGTTCAAATTATTTTTTTTAAGTTTTATATTTATATATTTATTGAATCCAACGACTTAGATCGAATATAATCAAATCTAACGGTAAAAAAAAAGATCTAACGGTCCAAATTTAAATCTAACGGCTAAAATAATTTAAAAAAGTTATTTACCTTAAAGTTCAACTAAAAACCCTATAATCAAATCTATCATGATTTTCATGTATTGATTTAGTGATTTTTCAAAATTTATCCGAATTTAAATATTTTTAGGTTAAAATGTTCATAAAATTAATTTAAGATAGTCTACATAATTTTTTTTTTAAAAAGTTAATTTAAAAAAAAAAATTAGCCTTAATTCATTCTTTGATAATCTGGGGTTAAAATTTTAGGCCAGAATGGTTGGAGTAGAAAAACTGTTTCTGAGCTAAAACCTAAATTTTCTGGACTAAATATTTTTAGGTTTTAGATCACCATTGGAGATGGTCTAAAAGCAGCTTATTCTTATTAAATGTTTTTTTTTCTTCTTCTTTCTAAATAACCAAATATATTTGTCCTAAATATTTCTAGGTAATACTTTGTTTAACATTTTAATTACTATGTTCCTGCCTAGCAAAAAGAAAAAAATTGACCTTTTCCATATTCTTGCCGAGAAACTAACCCGGAATTAATAGTAATCTTTCAATTCAAGTTCTGATCACAAAACACACACAGACACACACACGACACATGGCTACCTAGGTAAATGGCAATGTTATATCATCCAATAGGAAAAGGGAGAGGCCCACACAGCCACAGTGTGTTGTGTAAACTTGGACAGAGAGAAATAGAAAGGGCCCGAAATTAAAAAATATTAGGTGCATCATCATCCATCATGCAGTGGTTGTTTAATTAGTTTGAATGGATATATCATATTATATACATAATAATGTTAGAAAGATTATATTTATGAATTATATTTGCGTGTCACATGACACAGATAACCAACATCATTTGCCTCATGATATGTATACATTAATTTTTACATACATTAATGTAGTATAAAAATATAATTTTCTTAAAATTTTCCATTCATATAAACTAAATATTAAAGCATCTTCATCACAAAAAATGAAAAATGGGACAGAAATGATTAATATAGATAAAGAAACCAATTTTAGTGTAATGACTCAGCCCCATGGATTCCCCATGTGCACATGCATGATTTTGTTGGTTTGACGATGACCCTTTCTAATTAAGTAAATATTAATTAATTAATGTCATAGTTAACAACATTTGTGCTCCCCACCTCATTACAGCCCCCTTTATTCCGGTTAATTTTATATTTACATGTATTAATTATATGTATATAGATGGTGATAGAATTAAAATCATGGACGACAAAAGCATGCATGCATCAGTTATGACTATTAATTAAAATTAATTCATGAAGTGAAGGGTTCTAATTACAATATATTTCTTGATTATATATTAAACGATGTACACTGTATCATGTACCAAATTAGATGAAGATGTTTGGAAGGAGCGAGGAGGATGGAGAGAGAGGGACAACAGTTGACATGTCATTTCACTCTTATATATAATATATACATTGGGAGTTATAGAAGTATACATATAACAAAGCAAAAGTATGGGAAGTTATTGATCTGCTGCCTCCATATCCATATCTGTAGGAGCCAAATTGAAATTTTGGGTCAGACCCTTCCAATTAGATAACATCTGTACAACATCCAAGTTGAACATTTTTATACACAAACAAAGCATACATGCAATGCAATTATTGATTTTTGTTCTTCTGACAGTCTCCAGTTTAAAATAAAATGAACCAATTAAACGAGCCAATGCATAAGAGATCAAGACACTTGTTTTGAATCTTATTGTACATATAATTATATAATTAATTAGCATCTAATCCAATGATCAACTGTATGTATATATGTGCATGCATGATAATTAAGGAGGTTAATCAAAGTGGCAATGAAAGGCGAATTCAGGTTTCTTTTCTAATTTGCAAGACAGTGCAGCAACTTAACAGTGTCGGCAAATTTGACCGTATAATTTGCATAATCTAGTGAAAGCTATGTGTGCCCTTATAATAATAATAATAATAATAATAATAATACATAATCATCATCTATATAAAGGGCCTTTGTTTTTGGTACTGTATTATATACAATATTCCTTGGATTGTGGGACTCCAAAGTTCAAATCATGAATCACCGAGGCAGATCAATTAATTGTTTGCGAGTAACACATCTTCTTTGTTCTGTTTAATAATTCTTATAACAATTATTACATTAATTCTTTCTCCAGTCTGCGTTATTAAAGAACATGAGATGGAGACATTGGAGAAGGCGGCCGGCTGTCCAACACTAAATCTTTTGATTGTTTCAGATCTTTTCTTCTCTTCTCTTCTCTTCTCTTGCAATGTATGTAGTGTAGAACGATCAAACGAACAAGCAAAAGAAATTAAATCTAGTCTTATTACAGAAGACACTACTTTTCGTTTTCAAGGTGACCGATCGACATGAGAACAAGCGCAAATATATATATATATATATATGGTCAAACAATCTCATCCTTGCAAGTTGCAACTAATTGAAAACGAGAGATTTTTAGTGTACTGGGAACACTAGCCGGTACACAAGTGTCATAATACAAGTTTCCAATCGCTTGTATTATGACACTTGGTGTATCAAGTCGTGTTCCCATTACATTGAAAATTTTATTCTGGAAAACGAAACTTGGCAGGAAAGAAACCAATTAATGACTTATTCTGCAGACTCGGTTTGAAAACTTTCTTGCATATCATTTGATACCATTTTCTTCTTCTTCCATGCATGGTGTTAGTGTGTGACAACTAAAACAGCAAACCTTGATGTCCAATGTCCAACCCTACAATTTAAGGGTAGGAATAAATACAGACTCAGTGTTCACTCCAGTTCAGTTATAAACTATGGCGTTAACTTCCACAGCTGGTTCAACATTAATTAATTCCATGGGCTTCACTTAAATTATCTTCTCCTGCAAATCATGGATGGTCACAAGGTTAGAGCCGAGTCCGGTGCTTACAATTTAACACGCAATTTTACAAGACAGTGGAAATCATTTTCCATGTATTAAACATGTTTTAGCTGGGGATTTTTAAGGAACTACTCAAATTCAAGTTATTTTCCATCTTCCCTTCATCAATTTTACTACTTCCTTCCCAACTGCAAAATAGTAAACAAGTAACAAAAAGAAAGATGTTACTATAGTTTTCTTACAATCAAAAGTTTGCCAGAGCGGAGGAGCGGCGTACTTCTGCTTTGCATCATGAACATAAAGCAAGCTGAATAGGTCTGTTGTACCATTGATCTTTTTTGTGACTGTATCACATTCCATCATTGGTGGTGGCCCCTTTGCTGGAGGTGACGTAGTAAACTTATGATTCAAATCTAATGAACCCTGCAATAAACAAGGTAAATTAACTAGAAAACGTCTTCGACTTGTCAAAAGTACCATAAAAATTACTTATCAAAGATAAGAGCATTACCAACTCATTTGACAAAGCACACAAACAGACACGAAAGAGTAGACATATAACAAATCACGGAAGCAGATAGCTCTGATGAGTAGTGGCTTTTCTCTTCCGTTTCATCTTTTCGACATGTGAAATCAGTTATATTTTAGGTTACTTAGCAGCTTAATAATCTATGAAGTCCAAGTATGGATCGTATACGATAAATATTAGGGAAATCAACAAGGCAAAAGAGAAAACTTCTTTTGCTTCACCAGACCTAATTTCTCAATCTCATAATCTCCAAAGAAAGTGACATCGCCAAGCCAACAAAGAATCTCGATTTTCTTGCTCTCAACTTTAAACCGCCAATTTTCTAAAAGCTCCCTTATCGATCTAAGAATGAGCATGACCCATAAGAACTCAATTAAGGATCAGAAACACACATAAAGCTGTCTATTCCACACTTGTAAACACGCCAAGTGACAGAAACTCCCTAATTAGTGATACCTAGATGACAGGTTTATTATGGATGCAAAGTATGAGGAAGAAGCAAGAAACATTTTTCTGAACCTAATACCTCCAAACAACTTGATCATTTTCATCAAGATAACATAGCAAACATAACCAAATAAACAATCTACCCCACGGGATCTTGCCACTGTAGGAGCAGCTTCTGCCAGGTTTGTAAAAAGCATTGCCTCCTCAAGAGAATGTCTCCTTGTTTTCTTAGGAACTCCACATGTGGCTCCGCCCTTTACCAAACTGTTAGAACTGATGCTCATATCTACTGGTTTAGGAGCTGGTTGTTTTGCATTCTTCGAAACCCACATTTTCCCCTCATACCTGAAAGTTCCGAATAAAGTTAAGAGCAGAAGGAAATGATAACTAACACATTCTCCATGTTCCACATGAAGCTCATAATTAGCTTCAGAAAACAACTTACTTGGCACGAATAAAATTCTCAGTCCCACGTCTATCAAAATTTGGTGGCAATTCTTTTTCCCAATAACTGTTTGCCTTTTCATTACCCATGGCTACACAAAAGTGCATAGAGAGTTGATTAGCAGGATAATGAATTGGAACACAGTAGTCAGTTAGAAAATATAAAAAACACACAGAGCAAAAATGTGAATAGTGAACTGATGCTTTCTAACAACTATTTCGGTTAAATTATTTCGAGGAAAAGAAGGAAAAAGATGTGACTGAGATGACAAACAATGCATAAGTATCAGTTACCATGGTTGTGTTCTTACATTCCATAAAAGCAACCTGTTCAGGCAGCCATGTATCCAAAGTTGTAGACCGTACCTATTTCCAAGATCAACCAGGCTAAGCTATTATTAGAACATAGAGTTGCAATAATATGAAAACATATGCTACTCAAACAGATTGACAATCAAATAGAATATTACTCAACTTTGATAAAAGTAGTTCAGTGGACCAGAACACGTAAATAACTGAATGCAGATTCAGGCTATGCCAATCACCATTGTCATTCAAAACATTTTCGATTACTTAAGAGGTATTAAGTGGCCTCATTATCAATCTTTAAAAATTTCAGAAACCAAGAATAATTCTTTAGTCACATGGCTGTTCAATTTCTTCAATGAAGAGTTACCAGACATTTGTTAATGACTTTCATGAGTACCAATCCATTTAAATATGCGAAGCCAGGAAAGGAAGGGTGAAAAAAAGTTTACTGGCAAGAACAGCATATGAAAATAGAGAAATGATAGGTAGAAAAATAAACCTTTGATATATGCACTCCAAGACTCCGATGAATTCCTGAGCACTGCATGCAAATAAATATTCCCAGGTTGACACTAGCCCATCGCGGGGCTCTGAAAGAAATACATTGCAGCACAAAGATCACGTTAATATGGACATCAGATTGCCACAATCAAGACCAACACTAAGAAATATAGCCAAGACAAGCACGTGAAGACAGTAGTAAAAATATACTAGACAAAAGAAAAGAGAGGGATATGAAATGCGTACTTGCTCCGGCAATCAGCACATTCCCTGTTTTGTGGCAGCTTAAGAAGGCCTTCTAAAATCTGGAGGCACAAGCAACAACGTGCAACACAAGACAGAAACTATAAACGGGGATTGTAAGTGTAGCACAAGAATGTGCAAGGAAAAGAAAACGACTGAAAATAAAGGATACCTTGAGGTGTTTGGCGTTGAGGTCTTTGGAAACGGAGGCCTTGTTGTTCATTGTTGCTAGTGTGAATGTGTATGCTTGTGCGCCTACCTTCGCTAGTTTGTTGGTTTGGATGATACGGGACCGGAAACAACAACACAATAACTCATACACAGCAGCAGCAGCAGCAGCAACAACGGAGGCAGGCAAGGCGTTAAGACTTGAGAGCGAAGGAAGGCAAGGCCCAAGGCCACGGGAGAGAGAGAGAGAGAGAGAGAGAGAGAGTATGGAATGAAGGTAGAGGCTAATTCCAAGGAAAAACGGTTGGCATTCCTCAAAACATGCCTACAATCATTTTCCATTTTCATACTTTTCTATTCTGTTCTGTTCTATTCTATTCTATTTCTGTCTTCTTTTTTTCTTAAAAAAGCCAGCCTCATATTCTCTCTCTCTCTCTCTCTCTCTCTCAATACTTGCAAAAATGCAAAACATTCATTCAAGCGCAAACTGCAATTGAAAACTCCAAAATTATAATCAAAGCGCACAGCATAATTCTGGAAGAAATAAATTGGACATCATCACCATGTATGTATAAGCAACCATTTCAATTTCACATTAAAAACCAACAAAAATTACATAAATTATTAATAATAATAATAATCTGATAAATCCTCCAGCATAAATAAAGCACTAGCAATTAGCAACTCAATTAACCACAAAAGAGTTTTCATTAGTTGGAATTTCGAATCCTATTATTTGGAGTTGAGGACAATCTCTTGGGGAGTCTTGGCCACGATGGACAGCGCGTGGAGCCCGGACTGGAGCTCGTCGGCCAAGGCATCGTAGACCATGCGGTGTCGTTTCACCAGGCTCTGCCCCTCGAACTTTGGGGACACGACCTTGAGGTTGAAGTGAGTTTCGCCATTGCTATTGGCCTTCTCTCTCATGGCGGCGTGGCCGGCGTGCTGATGCGACACGTCTTCAATCTCCAAAACGCTCGCTTCCAACGCCGTCTGCAATTTCGACCTCATTCTGCTTGCTCGTGTCAGCTGCGACACCACCGTCGCTGCTCCTCTCGAACCCATCTCTCTTTCCACACTCCAGCACCATCACATTCAGACTCGGACACATTCATATATTAATTTTTTTCTTCGCTTTTTTTACTAAAAAAAAAAAAAAAAAAAAAAGGGAAACAACGAATTGAAAAAGAAAAAATTTGGTGCGGTGAAGGTGGATCGAACACCTGACCTTCAGATCTTCAGTCTGACGCTCTCCCAACTGAGCTATCCCCGCAACGGATGACATTTCACACTATTTTAAAAATATTAAATATATATGCACGGACCATTCGCATTTCAAATAAACAGAATACAGATTCAAAGGCTTGATTATTAATTAATTAGAAGTTGATAAACATTTATTAATATGGTATATCTATACATGGTGATGGTGGTGTCCATTGTTTAACTATAATATTTAACAACATATGCGCCAAATCCGAAAGCCACAATCACAGCAACTGCCGTCAGAAACTTTACTGTAACATTTTTTCCCACTTTTAATCGTTTAGAAACTAACATCCTTTGGCCCTTAAATTCGCAGCTTGTTGGTTTATTAGCATCATAATCACCAGCATTGACTACTACAGGCATTGTCACTGTAAGGACTCCTGCACTGTGAAGCTTAGCGTGAACGTCATTTGGATCACACTTGTCTGAAAGTTTGATTTCTTTGTGGAAGCGGCTCCATGTGTTTCCATTAGTTTCCTTCAAAGGACGTTCTCCATGGATTGTAACCATTCCCTTATGAATTTGAACCTTCAGGTGTTCCTTTTTAAAACCTGATCGACATCGATTAGGACAATAAGTACAAGAATTAGTTAACAAAAATAATCAAACAATATCAAAATCATTCAAATCAACATATATACATTAATTCTTTATCTAATATATATATGCATACAAGTACGCGGGAAGACCATTTGTTTATGTTTAAAAGAAAAGAATAATGGTGCGAGCATATGTGCTTGATTTCAGGCAGTTGGCTGGGGGAAATGCAATGGAATTAATGTAAAGCCTCCATCCTTTCAACATAATTAAGGAAAAAAAGATAATACAAAGTGATTACCGCGAAGATGGAGCTCAATCTCGTCGCTTCCATGCCATTTACAGAAGGGTTCAAAGTCTTCGTAAGTGCGTTGGGACTCAGCTACGACCTTGTTTTCCATGAAAATTTTCTCTTCTTTGATCTTTAGACTGACTCTAGCAAGATGAAGAAGTGATTATATCTATATATGTTACAGAGATATTGTTGAAATTGATTGATGAAGATGTAGGCATGTCCGTGTCTCTATTTATACTAGTTATTTTATGCATGGCAATTGGCAAGGGATGAACCAACACAAAGGCACAAAGCTAGCTGACCGGTTAAGGTAATCTCTGAGCTAGCAAGCTAGAGGTTTCTTTTGGTTTTCCTTTTAATCGAAAGAGAGTCATTCTTTTTTGATTTCCTAGGGTTTCTGCCTTCTCGATTGCTTCTGAACCTTCTTTATTTTAAGAACAATATTATATAGTGTTTCCTCAAATCGGGTACATCCATCAGTTGTGCATGTTGTGATATTCACTCCTCGCTTGCAAGGGTTATGAGAATACCCCTTTTTTTTTTTTTTTTAGAAGAAATAATCACGTACCATCTTATTTGATGTAATGTTATATGGCCAAACAACAATTCACATTGTGAGAAAGAAAGGTATATAAACAAATTCCCTTGTGACATGTGGCACATTTACCACCATATATTCGTAACCTAAAGTTTCCGTACAGGGATGCAGCCAGAAATTTCTCCTAGCGGGGGCAACCGAAAACAACAAAGAAAACCTTATTATAGTATGGTTATACGCAATATGATATTAAGGATGGTTTCAAATGATGATGTATCACAATTCCAATATTACAAAAATTTCAATATAGTAGTGGAAAGTGGCAAAGTGATGAGAAAAATATAAGTACATGATAGGCGAGAGAGGGTTTTTTTCGGTTTGAATGACAGAATAAGAGCACTATTACTCATATAATATTTGATATGGAGTATAAGTAGAATGAACAGGGACGGAGCCCGAAATTTCTTCTAGCGGAGGCAACCGAAAACAACTAAGAAAACCTTATTATAGTATGGTTATACGCAATATGATATTAAGGATGGTTTCAAATGATGATGTATCACAATTCCAATGTTACAAAAATTTCAATATAGTAGTGGAAAGTGGCAAAGTGATGAGAAAAATATAAGTACATGATAGGCGGGAGAGGGTTTTTTCGGTTTGAATGATAGAACAAGAGCACTATTGCTCATATAATATTTGATGTGGAGTATAAGTAGAATGAATGAATGTATGTTGGATATTAGATACATATATTTTCTTCAAAGATAACCCGTGTATATTATATAATTGTAGTTTGCAACTAAACAAACGAATTACTTGAGTGGGGGCATCTGCCCCCAGTGAGCCTTCATTGGCTCCATCCATGAGAATGAATGAATGTATGTTGGATTTTAGATACATATATTTTCTTTAAAGATAACCCGTGTATATTATATAATTGAAGTCTACAACTAAACAAACAAATTACTTGAGTCGGGGCATCTGCCCCCAGTGAGCCTTCATTGGCTCCGTCCATGTTTCCGTATCACGTAACAAATAACGACTTATAGTCTGCTCTTGTTTTGCTCTCTTTAATTTGATTATTATCTCTAAATGAGATGTCAAAATATCCAAATCAGCAATAACGGTAACAAAAGACAGCATTAATGTTTTCGGACCGAGAAGCCAAATTTGATGTGGCATGACATGAATTGACATTTATCCCCTTGCTGCCAAATTTGACAGCACCTTAAGATTTGTTTAATTAATTATTAAATGCTTTTTGTTAAATTTTTATAGGTTTAAATCATTATCCTTGTTTCTTTTCATTCCTAATGCAAAGAAAATACATATAAATTATTATTTTATGTTTAAAATTTGACATATTGGTTGGAAATCAAAAGTTTGAAAGATGCCAAATTGTAATGGTACATTTATTTTGTGTTAATTTGTCCTTTAATGGTACATTTATCACACTTTCTTCTAGATTTTCTCTTTTACTCAAATTGACGAAAATAACCTTAAATTGGATAAAATTTGAAGAAAGGTGATCAACCTATGGCCATCTATATGCAAACAGTAAAAGAAATCTCTGATGACATATATCCATGGAATTGTAGTTTTGTTTTTGGGTCAAATCCTCTTTTGACGAACATAAATTATTCATAGAAGTTGGAAGATTTAGCTGCCTTAAATTTGAAGGAAAGTTCTCGAGTAATGGTAGAGACATTAAATTTGTAGATTAAATTAGTAAATTAAATGAGATTTTATTAATAAAAAATAAGCATGTTTATTAATAATTAAAATAATCCAATTATCAACTTTTATATTATTTAACTTACAAAATTTAGTCTAAAAATTTAATCTCCTTATCATCATCCTACTTCCAGCAGTGATAGTAGCTATTTCCCGGGGCCATGCAAAACGTTGCTTGTTATTGGATTGAGCAACAAACCCCCGTGTCTGCCTGGAGTGCCCACCATTTTATTGCAATTTTCAAAGAGAGGAATTGATGCTGGGTTTTCCAAAGACGTTGGCAACTAGGTTTGAGTTGCACGCGCTTTCATTAGGTTTTTTATTTTTATTTTCTTCTTGTATTTATTATTAAATAACTTTTAGTTAAAATTTAGAATTTGAAAGTGTTTTTTATTAATTTTTTTTATACATTAATCATTAGATGGAAAAAATCTAAAGCCTATGTAGGATTAAAAGAGAAAAGGGAAAAACCATTTAAATAGGATGAAAAATCAGGAACTGAATTAGAAAATAAAAATAAAAGATAGTGCTGTATTTGGACAATGAGTCCGCTCCTAGTCATCTACATCCGTCGTGTTGGTCGTGTACTCCTATATCGGCGGCGCGCGCACTCGCCTAAACGCCATATTTCATCCACCCATTCAACTTTCCACTACAGAAACTCTCTCTCTCTCTCTCTCTCTCTAAAATGTAAAATGTAAAAACTCCCTCCCCCTTCAGCCTTGAGTTTCAGGTCTCCCTTGTTTCGTCCTCCATATAAATCGCCTTGCCCGCCCTCTCTGTCAAATCTCTCTTTTCTCAAGCCTAGCGACATGTCGTCCTCGGGCGGCCACTCCGGCAGTGTTGGCGGTCCGATCGCCCCTCAGCTTTACTTTTGCCACCAGTGCGACCGTACGGTTTCCCTCACCCCCTCACCTACCTCCGATCTCGTTTGCCCTCTTTGCAGCGGCGGCTTCCTCGAAGAGATGGAAACCCCTAACCCTAACCCTTTCCCCCCCAATCCTTTCTTTTCTTTCCCCTCCTCCGACGCTCCTCCCTTCGCCTCCAGCGGATTTCCCCTCCTCTTCTCCTCCTCCGCCTCCGGCTCCGCTCCCGGCCCTGCCAATATAGCCGACGATCTCTCCGCCCTCTTCGGTGGCGCACCCCAACGCTCCTCACCCTTTCACGACCCCGACGCCTTCAACCCCTTCGTCTTCCTCCAGAATTACTTGCAAACCCTAAGGGCAAATGGTGCCAATGTCCAGTTCGTGATCGATAGCACCCCCGGCGGCGGCGGGGACCCATCAGGCTTTCGTGCTCCCACCAATCTTAATCTCGGCGATTACTTCTTCGGCCCGGGCCTCGAGCAATTGATCCAACAATTAGCCGAGAACGATCCAAACAGGTACGGCACGCCACCCGCCTCAAAATCGGCGATCGATGCCTTGCTGGTTGTGAAAATCTCAGAGGATTTGTTGGCTTCGGATTCATCGCAGTGCGCTGTGTGTAAGGACTCATTCGAGCTCGGTGAGGAGGCCAAACAGATGCCCTGTAAGCACATATACCACTCGGATTGTATTCTGCCTTGGCTGGAATTGCACAACACATGTCCTGTCTGTCGCCACGAGCTGCCCACTGATGATCCTGAATACGAGCAGAGGATTCGTGTGGACTCTGGAAATGGCAATCAAACTGGTCAATCTGGGGCTCGTGGTGGAGCCAATATTTCTATGGGCGGCGGTGGGAGTAGTAGTGGGTTTGGGTTTGGAATTGGCGCGCCATCTCCAGACAATCAGAGTCCGAGTCCTCGAACTGTGGAGCGGAGGTTTACCATCTCCCTGCCGCGCTTTTTCAGGCCATTGGGTGGTACGGCCGAGACTAGCAATACCGGGAGTGGAAACAATGAGGAGTCGAACTCAGGGAATAGGGGAGGGCCTAACTCTGGACCAGAGGAGCCTAGGCAAGAAGATCTTGATTGAGCACAATTGGTATTGCACTTGTTACCTTACACATTCATATATGTTTGTCTTCCATTTGGTTTATTCTGACCTCACAAGCTTGAATGTGCCCGTCAAACTCTGTTATTTATGTCTTGACAAACAGTGGCTATTAGCTCCCTTTATTTTTGCATCACTAGTTTAACTCATATGGACATGCATGAGCTATTTCATAAAATTGTGCTTCATGGAAAGTCATGTACATTTGAAGTCTTTGTTTGATAATTACTTATTTGTAAGCCATCTATGTGGCAAACTTGCAACTACATTGTACCTTAGAGACATTGCTTTGCATGAGTTATTTGTAGTTAATCATTCCCACACGAATATGAGGGTCGGGTCCTATAGTGTTACGTAAAAGGAAGAAAACATGCAACCAGTGAAAATGCTAGAAAATACATATTTAAACACTGGCAAGTGTATGACTTTCCCATTTGTGGTTGATCTAACATGACATAAAAGTTGAACCCACGCTTACTCCGTATTAAAAAGATATCTTCATGTAACAGTCCTGGTAGACCTCCATTCATTTCCATCAAGCCTCAACAATCTTATAAATCAACTTCTTTGAACTAGTTAAATTCTATAATGCATACCTGAAGAACTTTGGAAATATACAGATGTGAATTGTGGATGCATATCTAATAATGCTAAACCATAGTGTATAACATGCATAAATGCTGCTGCAATGGTTGATACTCATAATTATTGGTTTTTTTTGGGATGTATCGTATATACCATATTGTGATATGGGTGATATGACCCGTATGTCATCAGATGGTTGTAGGAGGTGACTTTAATGACATCTCTAGGATAATGTTTGATATCCTAGACGTTATGATATTTGTTATAGGTGAGAGATCTACGAGGTGCATAAGCACCAATGCCACGACATACTAGGCTTTATTATGTGTAGTGGCTAAAATCACCATCTGCAGTGTTCTAGGTTCATGTTGTCTAACCCTTGGAATAAACATACTCTTTCTAGAAGTGAACCTTCCGTTCTTTTTTTGTGTGTTACTCTGATCACCATCCCAATCATGTATGATTATGGATGTATAACAGTGACCCTATTCTCTAGATTTGAGAATATGTGGCTTATATTTATTTCACAAGATCAAGTTGTTCCGGAGTTTTCTCCTTTTTATGCATCCAGCTTTTGAAGGTTACTCACAAAAGTGGAGAAGAGATGGGGTTGGATGTAAAGGTGGGTCGGAGTGCTTTTATAAATTCTTCGTGGTAATTTGACTAGAAGCTAGTGGGAAAGTAGTTATTCTGCTCATATTCCACTTCCTAAATGTGGAAGTTATGAGAGACAAATTCTAAGCAGTAAGTTGACTATAAGCTATTGGGGAAGTAGTTATTCTGCTTATAATCCAATTTTCTACATATGACAGCTATGACTAGCAGATTTCAGATTTGTCAGACTCTTTACTCATTTGATACATTAGATCTTTCATAGGAGCTTACTTTTTGCATTTTTAGTTAAATTGTAATACTCATAATTCTCTTCTTTCTTTTTTTCTGTCAAAATCACCTGAAGTTGTGTGCTGATGAGATTTTTATGTGGTGTTCCATCCATTCAAAGAGTAAGACCATACAAAAATATAGTCTGTCGTGTTTGTATCAGTATTGGATAGTATGAATATTTCCATCCATTCAAAAATCTAGATTTTAATGTTTATTTTTCTTTTCCATTCAAATTAGGCTGTCTTGTTTGTATCAGTATTGGATAGTATGAGTATTTCTGTATGACTAAGTTTTCTAAGCCAATCCATACATGAACGAGGTTCTTTTGTTTTAGTATGCTGAAACTTGAGGAAATCAAGTGCATGTTTTACTATATTTCTAGCAGCAGTTATGTGCATGATTCGTTTAGTTTATGAAAGTCTTTAACATAGCTCTATGTTCCAAGTTGTAAGACCTTTTGGGATTGCTTGGTTTCTAAGATTGAATTGGAATGGATAACTCATAAAATTCAAGGTATATTGAAGTTAGTGGTGTATGATTTTACATTTTAAGGGGATTAGAAGTGGAAGATTAGACATGAAGGAAACTTGACCCTTCTAGTCCTATCATTTGGGGGGATTGGATCCTTCTTCTACTTTTTGGTTGGAATCAATTTTTCAGTATCTGCCTTCAAAATATATTGAATATAGTGAAATATTTAATCCTAGACACCGAACGAATCCTTTGTGCTTTTTTTTGTTTTTTTGTTTTTTTTACTTTCCAGTTTGCTATGTGGCATTGTGTGTAATTACGAATATTGTGTGCTCTCAAGTTTTTAAGTAAATGGTTGCTTTGTCTCTTTTTGATAGGTACAGTTAGCAGATATGCAACCAATTGTTGAACAAAGAGAGAGGAGGGCTTACACATTAACAGTTAGTGACAGTTGTTTTTCTCTAAATATTGTCCCGATAATCATAGGTATTTGTCCATCGTTATATAGTTCGTTGTTGAGAATTCTTTTGTAGATTCATCATCAAATTTATGAGAATTTTATGTGCATGATCTGTGTTGTCGATTGCGGTGTAAATTTTTTTGATTTGGGTACCATGGTAATGTTGGGGATATGTCTGCAATGAAGCCTTGCCTTTCTTTCTTCATTGGGTTATATTGCAGTTGAGCTTTGAAATGGTTTTGATATTGTTATCTATATATTTATTATTGTGATGCCCAACCCACGCCCGCCCAAATTGTGATTAGGGCCCTGTTTGGCAGATTGGATAAAGGATCGGATAGGATTAGTTATACGGACTCGGGTGTTTGACGTTCACTCGTACTAAATAAGCGCCGGATTAATTTAACCGGTCGGATAGGATAACACGGTATACACCTGCTTAATAAAACTAACCAAAACACCCGGATTATTTAGTCGGGGAAGAAGAATATGGGAGAGAAAGGGAGGGAGTTTGGGGGGTGTGGCGGAGAGAGCTGGGGAACAATTATTTGGGATTCTTCTGTAGTCGGGGAAGAAGGGAGAGAGAGGGAGGGTGTTTGGGGGGTGCGGAGAGATCTAGGAACAAAAAAATGATTCCACTTTTTTTTAAATTTTTTTTTAAGTTTGATTCCTCCTATCTAGTATAATACCAAACACAGTATAAATAATACGGTCACTAGTCCGATACTGCACCAAGCACCCCGACTAATTTAGTCAGTACTATCCGGTGACTATTTATCCTATTCGACAGAAATAGTCAGTACAATCTGAGCTGCCAAACGAGGCCCGGTGTCCTAACCACATAGCTTAAGGCTGTAATTGTAAATCCGAGTAGTGGTGATGAACTTGACTGCCAATGCCAATATACGTTGAGTAGAATTGCCATGGCGTGACCAAAGCAAGCTTCAAGTTAAATTGAAGGAGGAATTTTTGGCCGTGTTTATTGGATGGTTGATCAAGAGTTTAATAGCCAAAAGTCACATTGTGTATCATATTCAAAAGTTCACATTGGATTTGGTGGGGGTGGGTTGGTGGGCCGATGATGGCAACTCCAGCACATGCATTTGTCTGCCGGCCTCAAAATCAAAATCAATATAAATATCAATTTCAATATTAAACGTGGAAGAAAGCAAAGTGAAGTCTAATTGGAGTAGTTTTTGTTGTACTCAAAAGAGGAGTAGAAAAGAATTGTAACCAAACCAAAGGTAAAGAGCTTTACCAAAAAAAAAAAAAAAAAACCATTTTTAGAATTGAATTTTCGTTTTCGTAAGAATGATCTATAAATCGAGAATTACAAAATTAATGATTTGGATTGTTAAAATTCGATGTGAAGTGAACCCCACACCTAATTTATTATTTTTGAAAAAAGAAAAATGTGCTATACACAATTTTCTAAGATGCAATGGAGTAGTGTGCAACGTGTATAGCACACGTCGTATTGTTCAACAATGTCCCTCTCTTTTACCCCCTCCCCCTTATGTCAGATCGTATTGTTCTCTAGGCAGGGAAAGGAAACCAACTATTTGGATCAAATTTATAATATAATATAAGAGAAAATTTGAAATAAGTCCAATTTTATAGGTCATCTTTTGAAATAGGTCGAATTTTTAATGATTTTTAACTTTTGAAATAGGTCTAATTTTTAATTACTTTGGACCCATATCAAAAGACCTCTATATAAAAATATGTGACATAATTATTGAGGGTAACAAGCTTTATTTTACCATTAATGACATATAACAATTGTAACTTTAATCTAAAAAGTTGATTTATCTAACATTTATCCGTAACAAAATCCCTAAAAAAGACAATAGGAAATAAAATAAACAAACAAACATCAACTCCAAATGTACGTGGGGAAGGAGTGGGAAAGGAAATCTACGTATAACATACTCACGACTGGACTACGAGTACGAGAGGGAGGGAAGATGGGGCCCCGAGGTGGGAGAGTGGTTCGTTTCGTGACTTGATTGAACGATCCAAAATACCATCTTAGTCGGTTCGGCTGAGAGCTGTGTCGGTAGTCGGTTCGGCTTCTCTCCCTCTTTCTTGTCCGCTGTCCTCCTCACGTCCTCCCTCAGCTCAACTCAGCTCAGTCATACCGCGTCAGGGAATCATAATGTTAATGTTAAAAAATAAATAATTAAAAATAAATGTAAATACTGCCTGCCTGCCTTATGCTTCTTCCGCATACAAGAAGAAGAAGAAGCATTTGACTTTCATGTGGACTCCATTTTTCTCTACAACTTAAATATTATTCTTATTCATTCTCTTGTTTTACTGTATGCCGTATGGATCTGCTTTTGTGTCGGTTTGCTTTCTGAAAAACTCTCCACTCCCAACCAAGACATTGGATTTGAGGCAGGCAGGCCCGCAGCTACCAAGGGGCGAGAGATCGGAGAAAAGTGGCAGATCAATTATGTCTCCTTCCAATCCAAGGTCGGTCGAGAATAATGGAGGAGGCGGCGGCGGCAAGAATTACATCGAGCACCAAGTCTCCAAGATGGACACACTCGCCGGCGTTGCCATCAAATACGGCGTCGAGGTTTCCAACTCTTGTCTGAAATACCTTTTCTTAATTAGCTTCCTGCCCTGCGCATTGTTCCTAATTACATTTAGTACTAGTCTGAATTGCTAAAAATTGCTATGGAATTGATAAATGGTAAACACTAAACAGGTGTGTGACATTAAAAGGATGAATGGGTTTGCTACAGATCTTCAAATGTTTGCTTTGAACACCTTGAAAATACCTTTGCCCGGAAGACATCCTCCCTCTGTTTCTTCTCCAACCACAACCACCGCCACAAGGTAATTCTTTCAATTCAAACGTAGATTTACTATTCCTGAAAACTTGATGTTAGGGTTCCTTCCGTAAGACTCTCTGTCGTTTATAACAAAAGAAGCATTCCTTCAAATGTTATGATGCGTTTTGTTTACCAACTTTCATTTCGGAATGGATGCACATGTGCATCTCGGTATCTATATATTGCCACCGGTTACATAGAGCTAATCATTTGTACAACTTAATGCAGAGAAAACGACACTGAAAAATCCACTCCTTGCCTTGGCCTATCTATTGGTTCAAAACCTCCCAAAGAGAAGAAGGTCACTACAGCAATGAGCACTTTACAGAAATACTATGGTCTAAGATCTCCGAATTTGAAGGGAAAAGCGCAAGGCATGGAGATGGCTGTCTACAGAAGTCGAAGTTCTGAATCCTTTGATCAAAGCGCCATCTCACCATTGTCCGACCCTCCGAGTCACCCTAAGAAGTCCAGGCATTCTTCCGTTGATCTCTTGTCTGAGAATGGTGCAATGGCTGATTACCTTGCAGCACAACTTGGAGATGGGCAGGGTGAGAAATTTGATGACAAATCAGTCCGGAGGCGTCAGAAAGCTGAAGTTGATAATGGGGCAGTCACACCAGAAAGGTTGTTAAAGGGGGAAAACAGTGGTGGGACTTCAACAGGAAATGGTTTAGCCATGAGGCAGAAATCATCAAGCCGAGCATCGCTGCAATCTGATTCAGATTCAGGATGGCTGAACTCTGTTCCGGTGGGAATGGGGGATTCTATCACTATCATGGCAGACGACATGGCTGTGGTTCGCAAGTCATCAAGCACACCGAGCTTAAAAGACCAAGACAGTAATAACACAGTATCAATTTGGCCAACTTCAAGGTGGAGCTTGACACAAGACCTTCAAGCTCTCTCAACTGCAACGATGGCCAGACCAATCTTTGATGGCTTACCAAAGCCAATAACTGGCCGCTGGAAAACAGCCCTTGATTAGAGAAATTCATTAGCACTGTGATATCATGGATTGGTTTCCTTACACTCGATCCAGTTGGCTGAAAGTTACTCAGCTACAGATTCCGCCAAAGGCGTACATATTCTAGAGCTGGTGCAGTATTATAATTCTAGCGGGAGAAACATGCCTGAGAAAGAGAGAGGGTAGGAGATTACAGTGAATAAGAAATGACGTGCAGCAATGCGTTAATAACAGCACTTAAAAGTGTGAAATAGTAGATGCCATGCCGCATCTTGAGAAATGGAGATGGTATTGGTACACGACCAAATTATTTATTGTTTTGTTCTTGGTCGCTGTTATATGTTACTTGTTGTATAATGATAATGTATGTGAGGCTGTGCATTACAGCAGAATTGTTTGTTGCTTATTGGCAATGCAAATTGAATTTGTTAGCACGAAACTCTCTTCCACTTGCTCTGTTTGTTGCTTTTATCATCTTTTACTGCTTGGTTGTGCTCAATGGCTTAATGTTAACACACTCAATAGGAAGCAACTTTGCCTCCACCCACCACTCCAGTTTCCAGCCCATGTCTCTGCCTTCGTGCTCCGACCGACAGTGTTTTGCGCTTTTGGGGGCGGAGACAATTGAGTTCAGCGAGCTCAGGAAGCAACCAATTGTTATCAGAAACACTTGATGCAAACATTTGGTTCAGTTTTTTTATTTAGTTCTATCTTTCGACCACGAAAGCAGTCTAACAGATTGCATTTGGATGCAAGTTACAAGTTTTGGATTTAAAAACAACATCACTGGAATTCATCAGCATCATATATCAATCATATATCAATTCTCAATTCTCAATGACGAAACCCAAACACATGGATCTTGGGGCATTACAATTCTTGTTTTATCACCCACAAAACCTATACCTAATTCATTCGTCCCTCCTCCCCCTAACAAACACCTAAGCGCATTACACAACACCATCACAGATCTACAATACTACGAATCAAATCCATCCTATCCAATCAATCCACTCTTTCAGATTCCAATACTAGATTGATTGACTATTGATCAGACGGAGTTGCTGTTAATGCCTGAAGAAGAAGGTGAGGGGTGATGGTGGCCATCGTGATCGTGATCGTGGTGGTGATGGTGTTCCTCATCGTCGCTGTCGTCCTCGTCGAAGGGCTTCTGCTTGTGGAAGATGCAGCACTTTTTGGAGCTCTTCTTCTGCATAAACTCGTTGTCCACCGTCCCTTCCTTCCACGACACCTGCTTCTTCTTCTTCCGATTCAGCTTCAGCACCACAGCTTCCGATTGCGACGACGATGCGCCCGCGTTCTCAAGGGTGATGGTCGTCGTCATGCTCCCGCTCGTCGTTGGTGCTGTTGTGCCTCTGCCTCTCCCGCCGCCGC